AACTATATGAATAATTAAGTAATAAAAGTTTGTTTAACCGCGTAATTTTTCATATATTATATTTAAAAAATATTTACTATTTATAGCAATAACATTTTTTTCACTATATCGCTTTTAATACAATTTAAATACATATTATATAAAACAAATTATAAACCATATATAATACAAGTTTTATTAATAAATAATACATTTATCGCACTTTTTAATATAAGAACATGCAAAATAGGTTGCATTAGTAGTGCATGCATTAGTTATGTATACATTATTTCTTATACTCTATTTGATTTGATGTATTAGAAATAACAAATCTTGCACAACTTCTATTAAAAAATATAATGTTTACAAAAATACCCTTCATGCTTTATTTCTTTGTACACTTCCTTGGCAACAATTTTTTTTGCTAAAACATCAAAAAAGATGTTTTTGCTGAAATATTATTTACTCCTATTCTTCTTCTTCTTTTTTTTTTCAAATTTAAATTAAATAGTTGTTACTATATTGAAATAAGATTTTTTTTTTTAAAAAAAAAGATGGCTAACTTGTTGACATTTTTGTCACCATATTTCCCAAACTAAAGTCTACCAGAAACATAAGCAATACTCCATATGCTCAAATTAACGTGTTCTTAGAATTTTTTCCGAATAATCAAAAGTACGAGGACTACTCAAATTGGAATTTTCCAAGTCCATTATAAGTAGATTCCCAAAATGAATTTCATCAATGGGGTTAAAATTCTTCATATGTTTTAGATCATCCATATATACCAACTGTAAGTTTTCCAATCCTTATAAAGCATCTCTAGCAAGGGCTTCTACCGAGCACTAGAAAAAACTGAAAGCCAAATCGTATGGCTAATGGTCTATCTTACGCCAGCATAAGCGCCAGTTGCTGGCCCTGAGCTATGCGGAGGTCTTAACAAAGAACTCGAACAAAGTTGAACCATCATACTGTTTTTTTTCTAGCACGATTACATTGCAAGATCTTCTATTAGTCACATTTGCTTATTATTGTATGGCAGAGTGGGACACCAAAGTGGATAGACTTAATTTCATCAACAATTACCTCCATTTTTATTTTACGACTTCTTTTGAAAAGGACAACATCACCACAATTTATTCATTGATAAGTTTAGAAGTCATTTGGTGAGCATTAACAGTTTTATCTTTGGTCCAAAGTCTATACTCTCAATTGCACTTAAAAACCTCGTTCCAACAAGTGAAACTACATCAAATTGATCATAACAACAGTCATGAATCATCAACTCTGAAACTTGAACTATGTTGGACCAAGTTCAAGCATGTCCCAATATAGCAAATCGTTTACCTCTGCAGTCAATGTTTCTTAACAAGTCAGTTGCAGCTTGAGTGCAGCGCTAACAACAGATGTAAGAATTACAAAAGTCTCTTCTCTATTAGCTATGAAAAGCCAAATTTTATATTTAATTAATAACATCCAAGTCACACCAAAAAGACAAAAGATGAAGACCTGTTTGTAACAGCCCTTCCAGATAAGGCACAAACAAATATATACAACTTACATCAATAACGGAAAATCCATTTTTACAACAATTTGGAAAATAACAATACAAGGTGAATTTTAGTATTCTGAAAATGTTCAAACCAGGCTGTAATAGTTCAAGTTTTCTGCCAATGCAAATAGCATGGGTTTGAAAAAGGTTCTGATGAACTTACGTCTCGTTAAATCCCTATAGAACAATTTGTATAGAATCAAAAGTCCAACTTTCAACAAAATATCACCTTGAGCAAGAGAGAGAATGAAATAAAAAAATAGAATCAAAAGCAGACTTGTACGAGTGTACAGATCCAATGCAAAGTGACATTTGTATGAATGTGCAGATCCAATGCAAAATGACATTTGTATGAGTGTGCAAACCCAACCTACCACTACTTCAAGTGTTAACTAACTTTTTATTTATAAACGAGCAATTCCCGATGGCTAGATGATGCATTGTTCAACCATAGTAGGTAATGGGACTCAAGAAGGGTCAAAATTCGATCGCATATCTTGCTAAGATCAACCTCAATTTTGGCTCAACTAGCTTTGCCATGTACACATTTTCCTCTATGAAAACATAATTTCTAACTAAATTGTAAACAAATAAAAGTGAACTTCTTCATCTCTTCCATCACGCAAATTCATCAACTCATTGAGAAATTAACAATGAAAAACAGAGAACAGAGAAATACAAATAGATTAAAGAACTGTCATAGCAGCTATATAATTGTATTTCAAAATCTCAAAATCAAATGGCTACACGAGAATTTGAAGAGCTATAACGACAGCTATATAATTATAGCTGCACTTAACATTGACACAAGAGTTAAGATATTTCGATAAAACTTATTTACACAAAAAGATTTAACATGCTCATGCGTATATTAGTAATCAGAGGTGTCAAAAAATGCCACTGTTGTCATACTTTGAAGTGATTTTAAGTAAAAATTATTAAACTAGTGTAGCCACTTATATTACAACTTCACCATATTTTAAAATTTATCATGGACGACCATCCACATCATTGCCTAACGATCATGTTCACCCATACGTAAAAATAATTCCATCTTTTTGTCATCTTTACAGGGAATCATCGCAACTTTTATATGTTGCTTTGTGGTGTACAACTCAAATACAGGAGATTAAATGATAGAATAAATTTGACCATGAACGTCACATCTATCACGATTCCTCATTTTTTCGATCAAAGAACCAATTCTTTTGTCTTGACTTTCGGTAAAATTTTCATAACTTCCTTTATACTCTTAAGAAATGTCTCACTATCATCCTATATTATTTTTTTCCTTTTCTTGCTTTTCTCTTTCTCGTTAACACTAGAAGATGATCTTTTAGAATATTCACCTTGTTTATGACTCTTTCAAAATTTAGCATGTTCATTTTCAGAACTAACAATATTTTTTCCGTCATTAAATGCGCTAGGTCCAGTGACATTTTCAGCTTCAATATATGAACTAGTTCGGTGAAATCTTCAACTGTAGTAAATTCATCTTGTCTAGTGACACTTTCATCTTCTTCAGTACCAATTTTAGAGCTATGGTAAAAATTTTCTTCTTTTTCATCATCATTGTCATAATGATCCATATCAATAAGAAATCCCAAACTCATGTCATTAGAAGTTATGGAGCTTGACTCTTTTGAATTTCTTCAGTAGCATCTTGCGGCCTTTCACCGAACTCTTCTAGTGCTCTATTCTTACCAAAGATTTCTTCCCAATCCTCAGACAGTGTCCATTTCTTAGTATTCATTTTCTTGGCTTGTGGATCAATCTAGAAAATAAAAAATAAAATAAAACAATTTACTTGATCACTAGTTTAAAGGCACATCAACTATGAATAATTAGAGTAACTAATAAGGAAAGTACCATATGAAATGATAAAGATGTATATTAATCACCTTTATAAAGTCAATCCAATGTTTTGGATCGTCAACTATTATAGTTCCATCACTATATTAAAATCTCAAACCACTCCGAGTGTTCAACAAAGCTATACTTTCATAACAACTTTTTAAATATCTCATTTTATTTTTGATGTAAGGTTCACCTTTCAATCCACTTCTAGGATGATATTTGTATATATAAAGCTCTACCTCCATCAAGTATCGATTTAGGATTAACAAGTAGCAATGGAGTTAGTTTGAGAACAACACTCAAGCATTCATTGAAACTTTGACACTCATACGACACCTAACCTCACGTCTGTTTCGACATCTTCTTAGAAAATAATCATGACTAGTCATGAAAAGACATATAAGGAGAACAAGAACTTGCTGAAACAATATTTCCCCAAGAATAATATATTCAATACCTCATAATGGTTGCAGATCCATAATAACACCTTTACTTTCAATAAAAATAAGAATGAACGCATATAAAGCTTTTAAATAAGTATCTATGTGCATAAATTTTTAATTTTCGACCATATAACGAGTGGAATAGATGAGCTCAAAATATATTAAAAAGTAAGTTTCATCAAATCTATTAGCTTTGGACGACTGCCTTTTTCACAACTATTTGCTAAATTAAAATTAACAAAACACTTTGATTGCATTTCAAAATGGTTGGCTAACTCTAAATCGTTGATTTTGATAGAGAAATAATTATACTTAAATTGTGAACGAGAGGCTGAAAATATATAGATTTTAATGAAAGATAAAAGTACTAACCTTGTAAAGATGAGCAAATAATATTTGATTAAGCAAAAGGAAGAAGAAACCTACTCTTAAATTTCCATTGACAAAGTACAAAGAAGATGAAAGGTTTCTAAAACAAGTACTATAAAAAGTGTTTTTTTAAAAGGCTTTGAGGGTAATTTTGTAACTATATAATCTAGTGCAAGTGTTAAAATGCTATAAATTATTTAGCGGTGCGCATTCGGTTTGATTTAATTAAATTTTGGTTCGGTTGTTTAATATTCGATTTCAGAAAAGTGTGCATCATAAGTTATACCAAACTATATTGATTCGATTTATTTTGGTGTTTTTAAATCAATCTTTCGGCGTAAACAAAAATAAAGAGGAAATATGATAAAGTGTTTAGATTTCATCACGTGTTTAATAAAAATAAAGATCGGATAGATGATTTTTTTAGCAAAGATGCCTAAGGATTTGTTTCTATTTCTTAATTAGCATAGATGCTGCCATGTTGCTAAAGCGTAAAGACTTTCTCCCATAATTGAATGTTGAATGAATGTAGAAGAGAGTAAGCAGCCTAGTAAGCACGATTCCTCGATAGACTTTCAAACGACCACAATAGAAGAACTCACAATGTACAATTGTACATAAACAACAATAGTTTCACATTTTATTGACATTACATCTATAAAATATACAACAAGCAAACAAACATCTGCTAAGATGAACAATGATTAAAAACACTTTATTGAAAAATATCCAAAAACTGAACTGACAAGTGAAAACACAATTACCATTTCTCCTTTACTCATGCAGTCAACAAACATTCAAAACATAAGGCTGCCCAGTTACCTTTACTCAGAAAACTTGTCCAGTGTCCACACATTTTTATAAAAAAAAATACAACATCATCAAATCAAACGACACCATCTCTTCAGATTTACAATTCAACACATTCAAAGCCTGAGGCTGAGCACATCTAGGCTTTAGCTGACATTCAAGTTCCAAAAAAATTAAAATAACATCAATGCAACAAAACAATGTCTAGCTGCTCCAGCGGCCAGCCAACAAAATAACATCAATGCAACACCACAAAATAATACAAAACGTAAGTCACAACTTAAAACACCATAATACAATAAACACAATCACAAGTCACAACGCCCTTCTTTGGTGTCTTAAACGATCACACAATGTTTCAAAATCAAATCACGAGCTTTAGGAGATATGGTTGAACTTGAACCTAATAAAAATATTAAACCAAAAGGCAGAAAATTAGTTAGATGTCAGAATATTTCAAGATACAAAAAGATATATTATATCAAATAAATAAAGTATTGAAACTCATCATTAATAGCAAAAGAGCAAATTGTTATCATACGTCAACCATGCAAGAATCCCTTGCCATTTCTAAAGATAATTTAAGCAAATGTCAAGCAACATAAATAAGTAGATTAGTTTTACACCACAAAAGTAATATGAAAACTCACCAAGTTCAAGTTTCTCAAGATTCTCCAAGATTTCTTCCACACAAATAGAATTAGGCTCTTTTCTAAGCCAATCTTGAGCACAAACAAGAGATTGCACACATTTAGGAGTCAAAGAACTTCTGAATCGATCAAAAATACACCCACCGCTCACACTTGAAATTGGAATAACCAATACATCACGAGCTAACTCTAAAAGAATAGGAAATCTTGGAGCATTAACTTTCCACCAACTTAAGACATTAAAATCGTCATGTTCAGGCTCTTGATCTTCTTTAAGGTATCTCTCCAACTATGACTTAGTAGCCCCACTTTCACTATTTTCCTTTTGTTTCTTTATGTGAAGCTTAGTTCTCAAAGCTTTTGTTCTCGAAAAGAGCTAGATGAATAAGATAAATCTGATAAAGTTGATCTAGATGGAGATGATTAATGTTGATATTATTTTGAATATTTTCTTAAATAATCTTCAAACAAAGTTTTTATATAAGTCTTCACTTGTGTATCTACTTTCTTTCAAATTTCCTCCCCAAATAGTTCTTCAAGTCCAAAGCTAACATAGACAAATTTATTGCGAGGATCTAATATATAAGCAATATAAATCATTGAGTTCATCTTATCAGGAGTACCCAAATATATCTTGAACTTCATCATCATCCCATCAACCATATTTCTCAAATTAAGATCTTCACTTGTAAGACGTTGTTTCAAGTATACATAGAGCTCACATATATCCTCAAAATGAACACTAGATGTAACATACTGTGAACCTGAAATCTTTATTTTAAGCTCAAAAGCTTTTCAAGAAATTTTACTACACTTTTTACATTTGCCCAATCATCACATGCAGGTAATCCAATAACACCTTCATCCTCACAAATATGAGTATAGATAAGTTTTACAATATTTATCAAAAAGATAAAATCTATCGAAGGTCTTTTTAAAGTTTTGTGTCACTTCCAACATCAAGTCGGTAGAATTCCACTTAGTAGGCACATCTAGCGACAACATTTTACTACATTCTATCTTTTAGACTTCACTACATTTCAAAAAGTTTCTTGTTTTTCTCGGAGATGATCTAACATAACTCACCATTTTGCCTAACTCATTTGACAGAAATATCAATTTCCTTCAAACCTTTTTGCACGATTAAGTTAAATATGTGAGCTATACATCTCACATAAAGATGTTTGTCCTCCATTATATTCGTCCCCACGTATCTAAGTGCTTAGATAATTTTGTAATCATAACACTATTTGAAGAAACATTGTCAACAGTAACAGAAAACACATTATCCATGTTCTAATCAAGCAAGGAATTACCAATAGCATCTTCCATGTGTTCACCCTTATGACTAGAGATGGGGCAAAAATTTAGTATTCTCTTATGCAATAGTTAATTTCTGTCAATGAAATAAACAGTCAAACACATGTAATTTATTCTTTGCGTCAAGGTCCATGTTGGTGATGAGACAAATATTTGTTTGTATTTCTCTAAAAGACTTCAGATTGTATCTTAATTCACTATAAAGTGCATAGCAATCCCTTGTTATTGTCCTACGAGAAAAAATTCTAAAGACAAGTGATGAGTCCTCAAATTGGACTCATATAGGACATTAATTTAATGCAAATATTATCCTCGATTATATATTTTATCTTGATATCTGATAAAACTTCTAAGTTTTAGTTATTTGGGGATTTGTTAAGAGCATGGAAACTTAGGCGCAAAACGAAAGAAAAGAGCTGAAGATTCAAAGTGTGCATCGCCAAGCACACTTGGTGATACGCCGTATGGTAAAGTTCCGCCTTCAGAGCACTGAAGAAAGTGGACTAAAAGGCGACAAAAAGAAGTAGTTGTCGCTTCGCTGAATAGTTCCACAAAGCAGAGTTATTCCGCCTAACATTACAACATCCATGGACATTAAGGCAATGCACAAAAGGGCGAGTCGCCAAATTACTTGGCGATTCACGACTATAGACGCCGAATAGATACACCATCACTAAATCTGAAGTCTATAAATACACTCTTTTATATTTAGATATAGAAATTTAGACAGTAAAACAATATAGAAACTTTGCTCTTATGTTTTATCTCAAGTTTGGAGAAGTTTTTGAGGAAGCTTGAAGAAAGAAGTTCTTCCTTCAATCTTGGAAGTGGGTCTTCTCCATTTACCTTTCTTTGCTACTTTTAAGGTTTAATATCTTATACCCACTTGATTCTTTAATCATTTTAAGTATATTTGATTATTGCTTGATGTGTGGCTAAAAACACCCCATTCATGGGGTGTGATTTAGCAAATATGTATTGATATTATTGTTGGGTCTTGCTTGCCGATAAGATTAGTTGCATTTTAATTGTGATTTTACCTAGTGATTGTGGTCTAATTTAATGGGTTTGTAGTTACAAATACAAAATCACCTATGTGTTTTCGGCTTGACCGAGAGGGGTCACAAAACCAAGACCACTATACTGATGTCCTAAGGAGTGGGTCGATATGAGGTTCAACTCGAAAGAATGAGCCTAGTCCCATATCCAAGCACCCTCTGTTGAATGTTCAGGGTGTGGATATAACGTAGGTTGGTTAGTTTAATCGAGTGGTGTCCGAGAGAAACCCATTTGATATAGGGTAAGTTGCCCGAGAGGGAACTTACTTTCACCTAAAACATAGCCTAGTCACCATTGTCTTGCGAGTTTTCCTATCAAAAGCATGTACGCATTAGTTTATGCTAACATATATTGCGGTCACACTCCAAGAACTCTCTCACATACTTGTTTTCTTCTTTGTTTTGCTAATTCTACTACTTGTGACAAAATCCCTTTCTTGATATTTGGCACTTTGGCGTCACAAATTTAATTTAATTTGTGTTTAACTTGAAAATATCTTGAGCTATCACTATTTAGAACGAAATACTAAGTAGATAAACCTTTCACTATCACTTCCTTGGGACACGACCCTAACCCTTGGTTGAGTTACCTTACTAACTTCGATTTATAGACACTCAAACTGTAGGTTAGTGTCGCTGATCACGAAATATAAAAAGATACACATATTGAAGCATCAAGAGGTTGAACTTGACCAAGAAACTTTTTAAAATCTTCATTTTCTACAAAATCAAAAGGTAGTTCATCCATAATTATCATTTCAACTAAAGCCTTCTTAACTACTCTTGTTCAAATTTTCAAAGTGGTGCTTGTGCATCAGTAGACGAGAAAATTTTTCTTTGATTGAGAAGTAGTTTCAATAGTAGACTTATAAATAGAGCACCTTGCTAAGTGTTGGTTCAATGCAGTTGTACCATTAATGTAAGTATAAGTATCAATTTGGTGACAATATCTACACCTTTCTCCATTCATACCATTCTCAACAATCTTATCAAAATGATTCCAAACTTGGTTCTTGGTGCTATTTCTTTCTTTTCTTTTTAGGTTGGGTGCCAACACTGCCACAGTCACTTCCAGGTGCGTCTATCATTTTTATTATTATGCAAGTCATCACTTGAACCACCACCAACAACTGTATATTCATTCTTCATCTGCAGAAATAAAAAACTAAAGTAGTAAGCAAAAGAAAGATTCAGTCAGTGTTGTGAATGCTTCTTGCTGCACTTTCTCCAAAACTCAATTACCCTTTCATACAAAATTTGATTTTCACAATAATTGCATAAATTCAACAGAAAATCGATAACGATGTTTCGAGAAATACCTACTATTTTTTTATGTCAGCGGACGATGATGGTTTGAGCCTCTAAGGCGAGAGGCTGAAGACTGAAGCGGTCTGCGCTTCTCAGTTGAATTGAGTTTTGAACGTTTGTTTAGTTTAGACTTAAGAATTTGGGGCTTTATGATTTAGGGTTTACATTCATTATTGTCATTTAAAATTGAAAATTTAAATGGGTCATGTAAATATTTTGAGTCAAAATTCAAAAATGTATAAGTATTATTAATTAAGCAATGTAATTTAAATATTTTTAAATTTATTAAATAAAATTTTGGTTCTTCAGCGCACCGTAGTTTCGGGACCTTTGCTTCTGAACAAAAAGCCGACACCAAAGAATCGAAATTTTTCGGTTTGATTTTTTAGTTTTCTGATTTTTTGGTATTTATGCCCACCCCTAGTATAATTAATACCTAGAGTTTCTTGGTATATTAGTAATACACAACCTAAAACACAATATAACATTAGTTATACATGACATAAAAAAGTGTATTAAACAAGTTATTATTAATATACAAACCTAATGCATGCATTATTTTTCCTAGTATACTCTATCAAATGACCCCTTATAATATAATGTGTCAATTTCTTACCAAACAAGCATAACATATTTTTAAACAATTATATATATACACACATTATTACTTTTAATACATATCACAAATTTATCATAGTATTAATATATATTGCTACAAATAATAATAAATAAAAAATATCGTTAAAATCAATAATTATTTATTAAAAAAAATGAAAAGTAATTTTTCCTATTTTTTTAGTTTATTAAAGATAAAGATATACACTTATATGATATATAAAAACTAATCACACGTTAAAAATTAAACATAATTTCAAGAATTTAAAAAAAAAATCATGTTTGTGCTAGTGTACTTGCACAGTGTTTCACTAGGACTCCATCGTATTACTTCACATAAAACACATATATAATAATGTGATTTTGATATCATTAAAAATGGGGATTTTACTTAAATCTACTAGTTTAGAAACTAATTACTCTAGTTAAAATATTACGAATCTTATCATATTTCAGTTTGTTCATATACATGTATCTCGGGATACGTGAGGTCAAAATTAGATTTTTTTTCTCGATATACTATATCCAAGTAGATTCGCATGTGTATGAGATATATAAACAAATCTCTCTAGCATTTCTTACCTCTTACCAATCTCGCTCGTCAGTTTCTTATGTATCTGATAACCCAGATACAAGATATATCTAGTGTGCATCTTGTGCGATTCAGATATATTTGGAATATATGACTATCTCGTTCATCTCTCCCTATTTTAATGTATCTTTGTGTCTTCCTCAATATATGATAAAAAATTCTTAATTATTGATTAGATACATAATTAATTAAAGAATAATATTGATGCATTATGTAGTTTTCCCAGAAAAAAAAAACATCAAAGTAATATCTTAAATGCTCATTTACTCAACTAAAATTTAATTAATGTCAATGAAGATACAATTTCTTCACCCTGATTCACTGATTTCTTACTGAAATTAAACAAATATAAAAACTGACTAATTACTCTTTATAGCTATAGTTTGATAATTAAAATTCGTAGTTGTTTTATAAAAAAAAATTTCGGAAAAAACATTATTTGTAAGTTTTCGACTTTTAGAGTCGCCACTTAATTTTTGAAGAAAAATCAAGCAAACTATGTTTTCAAAAGACTTAACAAAAAAACCGATTGAAAACTTTAACAGGGTTCGGGGATTCTTATTAACGTCTTAGGAAGGTTTTGAAAGCACCTAAGACGTTCACTGACCTGCAGCTATCCGACAACTAATTTTGTTTGGCTAAAATGAATAACTTAAATTTTGAGATAAAATTATTTAGAGTTGTTTTGAGAAAGTAGTTAATTCACATCTAAGTGAGCTATTTAATTTTTCAAATCTTATTTGTTTTTAATCCATTTATACTTGACTGATTTTGATTAAAACAAAACGGTGTCTTGGAGGGGACTCGGTTTTTTAACCTCAAGACTAACGACAAATTAAAACAAAACATGCAAGCAGTAAGTAAAAAACGGAGAGGGAGAGGGAGCTGAGTCCGAATACGGTTTCAGTCCGCCTGGACCGGTATTTGAACCCACTTGTTTTTTGGGTTTTGACCCATTTGGCCCACTTTCCTAAATTCTAAGTATACAATAAGTAAAATAATAAGGGAACAACTGGATGGGTAGGGCTCGAAATATGGGGACACATAATAAGATAACTATATGCTTGAGATATTGCAGACCATGACAACCAAACTTGTATCCGCAAATACGGTGCTGCAACGGCCATGAATACGAATTTCAAATCACTTAATATAACTTGGTTTAATGACAAAGTATTACAACGAACGGAAGTGAAGCATGCTATACTAAACGAGCTATAGGAACGTGCTGAAAAATGAAGAGATAAGTCGGAGACATACATCTGACCTCCCGCCGAATGACATGACTATTTTATAAACAAATGAATACAACAGCATCTGAACTCCTTACTGAGAGGTTTCAAACTCAACATGGTGTATACTGACAAGTTGACATTCCAACAATTGTCTGCTTATTTTATTTTATTTTTTTTTTTTAAAAAACTAAACTAAGATGAGCTTAAGAAAAAGCGACTCGACATGAAGGAAAAGGGAGACTACAAAACTAACAAACACTTATTACGAACGACACTTTCAAAACTTTATATAACTAATGCGTACATCATATAGAAATAGACTTGGCCACCACAGTACAAAGGAAAAGATGAAATTGCTTAACCAATATGATTCACGTCAGCTAAAAGCGAAATAGGTAATCCCATAAACTTTTGGCCCATTTGGAATTCTAATACCAAACCTTATGTAATACTGAATATTCTTTCTATTCTAGGCGATTCGAACCGATTTGAGGCGAGGTGAAGGGTTAAGATCAGCTATTCTTCCTGGGCGAATGACGTGGCACGATCTCGTATTGCCAGGGACAAAAACGCGTCCTTGGAGCTCTGCCAAAGCTGGACAATGAAAGGGACGCGGGGAAAGAAGACAATGGATGCAACGTACTAGTCGTTTGCTTTTTATCTATCCTTTTGACGCCATGTACCATCGTTTGCGGCCATTACTGCTGCATGGGAAAGTGGGGAAGTTTTGACCAAAATGAGCTATTTTTAAAATCAATTCATCAAAATAATACGTTTTTAAGTTTTTTCACAAAATTAGTATAAACGTACTTTATGGTAACGTTTTAGGATATTTTCATTATAAAAATTCAACGGACAAAAAAGTTAACGGATTATCGACGTTAAACGCATAAACGTAACTATGAGTAACGTTTTAGGTGTAAAACGTTACTCAAGAGTACGTTTTTGGAGAATCCAATCACGGGCCACTGACTCCAATCCTGCAAAGGCGGAGTCAAATCATTCAACTGTAAAACATTACTATGAGTAACGTTTTACACTTAAAATGTTACTTTGAGTCCCGTTTCTTAAGAATCCAATCACGGGCCTTCGACTTCTGCAAATTTAGAATATTTAGCTATAAAACGTTACTCAGAGTCACGTTTTACCTTAAACACGTTGCTGTCAATTACAACACTCTATTAAAGTTATATTCCTCCATTTTTCAAACTGACCAAAGTGACTATAAATAAATGTTGTTGTAATATTTTGCATGTTCAAATATAATTCAGCTTAATTTTTCCTTGTGTGGTCCATTTTAAAAATAATATTCACAAAATTTCATCAGGTATGAATTAAATAAGTGAAGTTTATCCTTTGTTATGTTCTTATTATAACTTTAAAATTATCTTTCTAATTTAATAATATTGTTTTAAAAAATATTTTATCTTTATGTGTACGATTAAGATGACGAGCTTTGAACATAATGTGATGGTTGCTTTGTATTGGGGTGGAGAAATAATTACCGATATGAACGGATTTAGGTATACAGAATGTGCTAGAACGATTATTAGCATGTCGACTTCAACTACCTATGTTGAATTGGTTGGATTGTTGCATGAGAAAATGGGAACATATAGTGAAAATATTCATATGGATATTTCTGGAAAATATCCATGTTCAATTCAAGGTAACAATACAAGGTTCATTGAGTTTAAAATTGAGAATGACCAATCTTTGTTACAATTTCTTTTCATACCTCAAAAATTTGCGGATAAGATTGACATAAATGTTTTGGAGATGTATGTAAAGACTGTATCGACAGATCAAAATGTTGCATTTCAAGTTACTGGTCATTATGGTTATCACATGAATTTGTTGGCTCAAAATTATGGCCTTACCACAATCAATCAACCTTATGTTGTAGAACCGATTGTTCAACCACCATTTCAACAATTGTTGATGCATGATCATCGATCATTTAGTGAAGGCTCAAGTAGTCAAATGCATATTGATAATAGTCACATGGAATATGAGGCTAGGTAAACAACAAATCTTTATTTTATTAAATTTTAGTCTAACAATTTAATAAGATAATTTTTATTGTCAGTATACACAAATTATCTCTTATAAATAGAAGAAATAATATTTTAGAATATTTATTATCGCTTTTAAAACAAGCTTGTATATTTATAATTTTGCTAGAATTTGACTAATATTTTTTTACAGAGATATTGATATCAACGTTGATCTATATAATGATGTAAATGCTGAAATTAGTGATGAAAGTTCGGAGGAAGATGAACCTCCGAAAGATGGTGATGAAAGTGAACCTGATGAAGATATCGATGATATTAGAGATTTTTCTCAAAATGGTGTAAATCTTCATAATCATGATCAGGGTGTGTCTCATGACATACCTTATTTCAGGACATTAGAGAATGAGGAAGACATTTTCATGTCTACATGTGAATCTGAGATGGAATGTTGTTCAGTTTGGTCTGAGCAAGCAAAAAAAGATTTAAAAAAAAGGTATGCTTTTTAGTAGTAAAGAAAAGTTGAAAATGGCTGTAACGATTTGGAGTTTGCACAAAAATAAGGAGTTCAAGGTGGTAACATCTACCAAAAGTCTATGGGTTGTGAGATGTAAGTTTTATAATTTATTGGGTTGCATGTGGTTTCTTCGAGGATGACAAGTTGGAGAAAAATTTTGGAAGATCGGAAAATATGTTGAAAACCATAGATGTGAGACTGAGGGGCTTTCTAGCGGTCACGCCAACCTAAATACCAATTTGATTGTATCACTACTTCTAAATCAAATTAGAAAAAATCCTAAGTTCTTGGTGGTAGATGTCATTTCAAAGGTTCATGAAAAATTTGGTCACCAAGTGACATATAAAAAAGCATGGCTTGGACGTCAACGCGCGTTTGAATTGGTGTATGGTGACTTTAAGATATCATTTAGTGAACTACCTAAATTTTTTGCAGCTTTTCAACACTTTAATCATGGAACAATTGTGGAATGGAAACACGAAGAGTCTATGAGTTCATCGGAGGTAAAAACTTTTAAATTTGTATTTTGGGCTTTCAAGCCATGCATTGATGGATTCCAAACATGTCGCCCAGTTATTTCAGTAGATGAAACTCATATTTATGGAAAATATGAGATCAAATTATTAATTGCTGTTGGAATTGATGGAAATGATAACATTCTCCCTTTAGCGTTTGCTATTGTAGACAAAGAATCAAAAGAGGCATGGAAATGATTTTTTAGAAATTTGAGTGCACATCTGATAAAAAGTAGACAAAATGTATGTGTTATATCTAATAGGGCAAAAGGAATCTTGACTAGTTTGCAGGAGTTGCGGCGATTTCAAGAGCCTCGAGTCTTCCATCGATTTTGCATAAGACATCTTAAGAGCAACTTTTAATCTAAATTTCCAAACAAGGACCTCAGCAGATTGATGTGGAGGGCTGCTTCAGCCCATCAAGTAAGGAAGTTTGAGTCCATGATGTGGCAAATTAAAGAAGAAAATATCGAAGCACATGCATACCTCATGGAAATTCCCTTGGATAAATGGACTGTTAGCCATGATGATGGAAAAAGATGGGGAGTGTTGACAACAAATCTTTCAGAGTCATTCAATGGAGTGTTGAAAAAAGCACGAGGTTTGCCTGTCATTGCTATGATTAGACTTTCATTGGAGCAAACTATTGAACGGTATACCCGTAGGTCTCAAATAGCACACCAACTTGCAGAGCAAAATGAATTATGGACCGGGAGGTTCAAAATAAAGTGGGAGAAGAATTATGAAAGTTCAAAGAGGCACTTTGTTTTTGATTGGAATATACCCACAGGAGTATACGAGGTTAGATCTATACAAGTTGATGGTACTGGTGGTAATCCTCATTGTGTTTCACTTGATGAAAGAAAATGTGATTGTGGAAAATGGGTTAATCTGCACTTCCCGTGTTCACATGTCATGAAGGTAACTAATAGAATGGGAGGGCTAGCTAGAAATTTTGTTAGCGAGCATTTCACAATAGAGAATTATGTTGCAACATATTCTGGGTCATTCTAACCAATTGGTCATGAGTCATATTGGCCATCTCCAAGTTTTACAATGAGAAGTAATGAATTCTATCGTCGTCCTAATCAGCCAAGGACAACTAGAATACATAATGAAATGGATCGTAGTTAGCTTGTGGATTATGCAGGCAGACAGGACATGATAGGCGTCAATGTCCCAATCGTAATTAAATTTAAGTGAATAATTGTGGGTCAATGTCTAATGGTGTTAATTTTCTTTATGTTATCTAATGTAATGTGTTATTTCCTAGATTGCTAATAAAGAAAAATTATTAATGTTAATTTCCAAATTTCTATTTATATTAATTTCCTTTCAATTATTAGTGCATAAAGTTATCTACTACATAAGCTTAAATCTTAGAGGAATTAACAAAATTTCATATTTCATATTGCAATTATTAGTGCATAAAGTTATCTATCACTTTTCACAAACTTGAAGTTACATTAAGGAATAGTTGAAAAACACAAACTAAATAGAAAATAATATAAACATTCATGTATTCATAGAACATGTTGCTTTACAAAATAATGACTAGTAGCTTCATTCTTCACAAAAAATCTCTACTACTAAATAGAAAATAATATAAACATTCATGTATTCATAGAACATGTTGCTTTACAAAATAATGACTAGTAGCTTCATTCTTCACAAAAAATCTCTACTATTCACCAAGGGTTATCCAGAATATCAACAAGCTGCATCAACCTAAGAAAAAATGATTAAGAAAACTTTGATGAGTTACATTCACCAAGAATCTCAATCTATACTAAAAGCACAAACTCAGTGGCACAAGCTAGCACGTCGAGTTTCATTATTTTTATCTATTTCCAGAATTTACAGATGTTCTACATGAGAGATTTGTGCAATGTTTTGATAACAAAGAGCAAACTGCAAATTGATAACTATCCTAGAGGATATAGTAATAGTGAATTTATAATGCAGGTACTAGAACTATCCTAGAGGATAAGAACATCCGAAGCAATTAGCAGATAACAACCATGTCTAAAAATATTGAATTCTCATATCCAAAAGGCTACAATTCACTTAAATCAATTTTCCAATATCTATCGAGAGATGAAACAACACAAACATTAAATTAACTCAGAACAATCGAAGCATTTCAGATTCGGAACAACTCTGTTTTACCAAAACATGGAAGAAACAATTGAAGCATTTCAGTTTTGGAACAACTCTGTTTTTCACAAGTTCATTATCAAAATGAAAGGTAGTTATCATTCGATCAGTCAAACATACTGTAATCTCAAACATGAGATGGTCCTTTAAATCCCACATTCTTTCCTACTCACTTAATATAAGATTAGCAACACTAAGCCTCCTGACTATTTTGTATCACTTATATGGGTCATTTACTTCCATTACTATTAGTACCAGTATCAAAAATTCTATTTCTTGGCATTTTTCGATTAGGCAACCTGTGAACATTTGTTTTTATACAAGCTACCTTCCAAACTAAAAAAGGACTGATTCCAAAAGGCTGTAGGTCTTCTAAGTCAATTTCTCTCCATGACATTTTACATCCACCTCGTCCCTTTTAGTGTCTTCGAACACCATAATATCAGCACCTACAAATTGGTGCACTTGGAGGTCTATATATGATATGTCCAAACCATTCTACGCATGTGATTTTTGCACCTTTTTTAACCATTTGATAACTTTTAGTACTCTATATCTTAATATCAACATTTCTAATATTCTAACTTTTTGAGCAAATTTTTTTCACTCAACTGTTTTTCTAATTCAGATTTCAATATTTTTTTTTCGTTCTCCTTTTTTGTCCAACCATCTAGCAGAGCAACATGGAAAATTTTAAAAAAAAAGAGTTTTCAGAGCAACCATCCAGCAGAGCAACTTTAAGGTACTAAATCAAAGAAGAAATAGATCTCAAGCAATCCCAACACAGACTCTTCATCACAATACAATTTTCGACTAAGAAAATATCATACCCAATTTTACCTAAGACTGACAAAGAAGAAGGAGTACCAAATTTGGATACCTGAAACCTCTCAATTACAGTTCTTTGTTTCTCGTTGCTTATTTTTTTTGCCATGCTGGTAAAGATAGTGACTCCCTGACAAACAAGAATAATTTTCAGTTGTTCGACTAAACAGAGGAGCATTTATGTCAAAAAAAAATAAAATAAAGATGTTAATAGTACCAGTCCCACAACGCTTAGGAAAAATCCTACGCTTCTCCTTCACTGATGGTTCACCACATTCGTTTGCATTCTTCACTTCATCGTTGGAGTCCTCTAAATGATTAACAACACCAGGGGTCTCAATGGACATTGGCAGCCCAGGTGATGAATTAAAGTTGGGGGCATTCTCAAAATCTTGAGGTCGAGAACCACCAAATACATTCTCAAGTGATGAAAGACTAGAATTCCTTAATATTTGTGATGCCGTGTATGGAACAATATCAGTATTTGTTGGTTGATATGTCATACCTGATGCACCGGGAGTGAATTCTTGAGTTTGGCCCCTTGAAATGGAACCAAAATCACAAGTTGTGTGATCATCTTCGGAGACTAATATATCCATTTAATAGGCGCTCGTCCTTTCTCAACAACACGAGCCCTCCTACCGGCAACACCACCTTTTCCTCGCCTACGAACCGGATGATGTAAATGATCATCATATACCTCATCTCTTCTATAATCGGCTTGTACATTAATCCTAGCAGCCTCGTGGACATATGTCAAGCACTTTTCTCCTTCATTTCGGACCATTGCACGAAAGATGTATAAATCCTCCATTGATGGCTGATCACCAAGGGCTTTTGCTCTATCAATCGTGGAATGAATATGACGCACCTACACAAAGATCAAATTTTTTTCTTACAAACATTTTCCATTCTTTTTTTTAACAGATGCTCAAACAAAGATCAATAAAGCACTTATTTTATATTTTGTAAGAAAAAACATTGGTAACAATTTTCCAAGTCACAATTTTCGAGAAGAAGCAATATTATCCTCAAAAGATAAATCACAAACACACTAAATATAATACATACCATTGTTTCATATGCCGTTGAATTGGGCACATAACCTTCTTGTTGTTGAGGACCCTGAGTAGGATTACCAATAACAAGACGAGTAATGCGTCTAAACCAAATAAGGTAAGGGTCGTCATATCGAAGTGGTTCACGATTGACCGGAGCATCACAAACATATTGAAGTCGTTGGTTCCAAAGAGGCAACCATTGTGCATGCTCCAACTTCCAATTTTTATTTGGTCTTCCCCTTCGATCATGGTGAAAATGTGTGGCGTCAAATAGAAATGGAGTTGGTATCGTTTGGTTTAATCCAAATTGTCTCATAACTCGATCAGGCAAGTGAACCTCAACGATATCCCAACAAAAAATTGGAGCTCTTACACGCCATATAGGAAGACTCTCAATTAAGTCATCCGAATATGGTTCCCAAATAAACTACATAAAGAAAAATACATGAGTTTCAACTACAATATATACATAATTTTTTAAAGAAAAACAGTATAACATCATACCTGATCCTCTGTCACGGAATCAAGTGCATCCCTAAAAATTTTCAACACATGCTTAGTGGTATCAGTCCAACTAAAATGTGCAAACCATCTAGTAGCACGTGGACCCCTAGGTAAACAAGCAAGAAAATTATTTTCGATGTCTCTTTGTGCTATTACCTCAGGTCTGAGGACAATAACTCTCTCCCATGCCCAAATCTAAACATAATATATAAATATATAATTATGATATTATAAACTAGAAGAAATATTTATAAAGAATTGATGTAATTATTAAGTATACCTGAAGAAGTGGTAGAAAGCCAGCTATCTCATTTTGGTTACTCTGTGAGGCCCTACAGAGAAAGCGATACAAGCACGCTAAGGTCGCACTACCCCAACTATAAGAGCTAACTACATTGAGATCCTCGAGCATAGGAAGGTACATAAGCTTTAGATAGTTGCCAGATGTATCTGCCATCATCATACCAGCAATCATCCAAAACATGTAACATCTAGCCATTTGATCGATCATTTCTTGTGTTGTCAAGTCAGGTAACTGTAGTTGCTCGAGCATATGCGCATTAAGTGCAGTTACCTTGAGGCTACTACGGTTGAAGTCTTGATGACGTGGAATAAAACCTAACAATCTTTGACAAATATTTTGCCAATCCCCTATGGTCCTTATCGACTCATCACCAAGTACTGGATCACCATTCACAGGTAATCCATACAACACTTCTACATCTTGCAAGGTGATTGTCGCCTCACCCGTTCTAAAGTGAAATGTATGAGTCTCGGGATGCCATCTCTCTACTAGTGAAGTGATCAAGCTACGATCAATAGAAGGTCGATTTGATCTATAAACACCATATAGTCCTGATAATTCAATCATTTCTAAGATTCGTGGATGAATAGGATATTTCTTTACGAGGTCCCAAAATTTTCCATCACACCTCCTCGTATTTAAAATCATATTAACACTTCCATTCCATATATCCCGTGACCTATGGGTAAGTTGTTGAGTTAGTACCGATGGTTCAAGTGGACCGGGATCCAATTGATATGCACTATAACCAGTCATATATGTATATATTAAACTGAAAATTCCATATGAAAGTATATTAATTATAATTTTTAGTCCAAAATATAACAACCAAATCAAAGTAATGTACTATCACCAAATGTTTTATTAAAATATTGAAAAATAAACTCAATTTTAGTAGAAGCACATATGCAGGTCAACCAAATATAGTCTTCCCTTCAATTTTCATGTGAACATTTTTTTTTCTTTGTTTTTCTTTTCATTGTTTCTCTTTTCATCAACAAGATGCATAAATTCAAAATAAAAACAGAACATGCATATTGGAATTTCTTGAGTGATTATTCTATATAACCAAAACGATATAAGTACGAGAAGATCGAAATTCTAAAATTCAAGCATTACATCTACTAGTTTGTAAGGGAAAAAAACATACCTCAAGGCTTTAACACAGGAAATTAACTTGATTCCAAGCTTTCCAGAAGATTGATAGCCGTAATTTTTCGTGAAACTCGATATAACAAGAAATCCCCAAAATTGATTTGGAAAAACTACAGCTACCGTTTATCCACGAAATGAGGTTTTTATCCATTCATTATCTTCCTGTGTTTCTGTTATTTAACGCCTCCTCTTCGTCCAAACCGATTGAAAATGGAACTTTTGGAAGTTTAAAATGAGGCGACTGCCATTTTTTTTAGGGTGAAAGGGGTTGAAAACTTGAAAGGGGTGAAAGGGGTGAAGGGGTACCAAATAACATTATTAAAGGTAATAAATGAAAGTTAATCAGTGAAAGGGGTGGGGCTCAGGTTTTAGTATAAAATTGTTACTGCCAGTAACGTTTATTAATTTAGTATAAAATTGTTACTGCCAGTAACGTTTATTAATTTAACGGCGTTAATTTTTTTTAAAAATCAAATAAAGCCTAAAACGTTACCATAAAGTACGTTTATACTATTTTTGTAAAAAAAACGTATTAATTAGGTAAATTGATTTTTAAAATAGATCATTTTGGTCAAAAATTCAAAAGTGGGAGCGCGTACTAGTCGAGGGGTGTCATTCACACGTGCCATTGGGAAAAAGGCGTGAGATCGTCGTGAAGTTTTTCGTCTGCCCTTGGGAACGTGTTGCTGGATTTCTTTTGTTGAAGGGGGGAAAGGACAGGGGGTCGGGTCGAATTAAAGAATGGGCTAGAATTGATTTGAGTTTAATTAGTATATTGGGGTGGGTCAAGGTGTTGGGGCTATTTGAAGAAATTTCTGGAGGGATATACATGGGTTGGGATTTTAGGAAAATACATGGATTGGGTCAATTTCATTGTTGAAGGTATAATGGGCTGAAAAGATTGGGAATTAGCAAGGGCCCAATATTATGTCCTTTAATGGGTTTAGGGGATTTTTATAATTTATAAATAAGATCGAACTAATATAAATTAATTCATGATCTTTTAAATCTTAACGAAATAAAATAATCAAATTAATGATAAAAATAATTAATCTAAATGTGCAAAACATTATATAACTAACTAATTTAAAAAAGATCTTTTTTGAGATGATTTTCAAATATTTATAAAAATGCTAACTATATATATGTGTGTATTTATACACACACACACACACACACATATAATTTAAAATTTCCAAAAGCGACAAAAATTACATAAAACTAACCTGAAAATAATTTTAATTTTATAAAGTCAATCATTTCAAATAGTTTGGGATTTTAAGAAGCTCAATGATTAATTCATATCAGGGGAGGGTCAAAATTGGGTGTCAACAACTGTCCGTCTTTTTACTTGGATTGATGCATGAAATGCGAGGAAAATGAAATTGACTGATCCAATTTTTACCGACCAGACATTCATATTTAGGAAAGGAATTTGGTACGGACTTTAAGCATTATGGACGAACCCCGTAGATAAGTTTCCTACATATCTCAGGCTATATGAGAATTCAGGCCACTTGTAGTTTAATACGCTTGATTTAACGCACGATTTTGAAGATCTTGGCGCATTGTCACTAAGATTTGAATTTTGCTTCTGGTAGATTGAAATTTTCGAATGCCAGACCGAAACTGACAAAACTCAAAGAAAAACCCACATGCCTTCTGATAGGGGTGTGGTTTGATTATGGTGGAAGTTGTCCCTCTGCTCGAGTCCTAAGAGTTTGACATTCCTCTTAGGAGTATGTCCCAGTTCGCTGCTAAAGGAAAAGTTTCACGTTGTGCTGCATCATTTTTTGATGTCGTCCACACCTGTGGGTTTTTTTTTTGAGAATTCACCCTTTTGAATGCTCTCAACAAAGGCTGAGATAAAAATCATTAGCATAAAAATGAGATTCAAATGAGAGATAGTTTCTTTTACCATGTTGACACTTAGTTGTTCTCCTTCGACTTTGATGTCAACTCGATCGGTTTGACGTAAAGCAACTAAAGCTTATGTCTTTTGTTTGTGATGTAATCTTCAATATAATCTTCACTTGATGTCGAACTAAATAGAAACTGATGCAGTGCTGATATTTCTCTTGATATTGTCTTCGATGCTCTTCTTGATGTTTACCTTTATAAAAATAAAAGAATGCAGTTGATGCTGATGGGTAAATATTTCTCTTGAGATGCACGATTCCTTCTCGGGCAGTGCATGACTTGTTATGGAGCATGCATATCTTCACGGGATGCGTTATTTCTGTGAGGCATGAATACCTTCTCGCGATGCATAACTTTCTACGAGGCATGAATATCTTCTCACGATGCATGAATATTAACTTGCGATGCATGATCTTCCATAATGCATGAGTATTAACTCGCGATGCATGAATATTAACTCGCGATACATGATCTTCCGCAATGCATGAATATTGACTCGCGATGCATGATCTTCTACGGGGCATGAATATCTTCCCCCGATGCATAAATTTTTGCGAGGCATGAATATCTTCTTGTGATGCATAAATTTTTGCGAGGCATGAATAAATTCTCGCGATTCATGGATAGTAACTCGCGATGCATGAGTATTGACTCGCAATGCATGATCTTCCGCGATGCCTGACTTTCTACGGTGCATGAATATCTTTCCGCGATGCATAACTTTCTGCGAGGCATGAATATCTTCTCGCGATGCATGAATATTAACTCTTGATGCCGTCTTTGATACCAAATGAAGATAATGCTTCAATCGAGCAACATAGTTATCTCCTGGGTGCCTTCTGGATAATGATATCATCTCGACCGACAATACAGTAAAATGACCATTCAGGTAGTGTATCATCTAAATTGACAATACAAATAAAATGACCTCTCCGGGTAGTAGTAATACCATATCTGATATTGTGATGCAGATGACGTCCTTTACGAAAACTGTGAACTCTTTCTTGAGATTTTTCACTTGATTCATCTTTGTACTAGCTAGACGTTTTTTAGACTTCATGTTTTTGGAAATTGAATGAAATAAACCATCCGTATTCTAATGCTCCCGGCATAAGCAATATAAAATAATTCCTACATTTACAGGAACACCGTTAATTTTGGGAGAGATTTCTCCTCCCTTGAATTCTTCATATTCATCCATTGATGAATTTGCTGATTTCAGGGCAAAGCTATAAACCTGCGTCCACAGAAAAATAAATTTTCGAGTAGTATTTTGAAAAAGGTAATTGCCAAGTGTCATGTCACGTCAGGCTTAGAGAACTTCTTTGACCTAATGCTTGAAGGTATATCTAATTATTCGATGGGGAGTATTCAAAGCCACTCTAGATTGTCGATAAACCCATGTCGAAATTTTGAGGCCATTCACAAAATTTTTGTCCCAGTTAACTGTATTGGCTTATCTTTCAACTGTCGCTGAGCAAATCGCAGAATTTTTTGAGATCCTCTCAAAAATTTATGTCCAATTGCAAATTTTGAAATATTTTCAGTCTTGACTTATTGAGGAAAAATCTTCTTCTTCAGAATTATTGAGTCCCTCCCAAAAATTCTGTCCCAATTTCTACTGTAAAGAGGAATAGAAATCTTACGGGAAATATGACTGAACCCTTGTAGCGCCTACGTATCCCATTGAAATAGAAATCAGGTCAAACGTAGTTCCCTCTCAAGGTTAACGACAATAAAAAATTTACAAAGAAACCGACTGAGGCCGACATAGGCCGCCTACATATCTCATTATTGAGAATTCAGGTCAAACGTAGTTCAAATACAAAAAAATATTTAAGGGATAGATGGGGTAACCGAGGCCGACATAGGCTGCCTACGTATCTCATTCTTGAGAATTCATGTCAGACGTAGTTCATTACAAAGGGGAGGAGATTTGAAACAAAACAAATACAAGCAAACAGAATGATTACAAGTAAATAACAATAAAATACAAACTCAAACTTCACATGTAATATCTCTTGACAACATCTGAGTTGATCGGTTTCGGCCATGCGGTGCCATCCATCTCCGACAGGACCAAAGCACCTTCAGATAGTACCTTGCGAACCATGTAAGGTCCTTGATAATTCGGTGCAAATTTTCCTTTGTACTCATCTTGGTGAGGAAACATGCGCTTAAGTATTAACTGACCAACTTCAAAAATTCTGGCTCTAACTCTCTTCTGGAAAGTGTGAATCATTCTTTGTTGATATAGTTGACCATGACAAACGACAACTACTCTCTTCTCATCAATAAAGGTCAACTGATCAATCCGCTTGCTGAACCATTCAACATTACTCAATTTTGCTTCTTGGATGATCCTCAAGGATGGTATCTCAACTTCAGCCGGTATGACCGCTTCCGTTCCATATACTAGCAAGTATGGAGTAGCTCCAGTCGATGTTCTGATAGTCGTTTGATAACCCAATAAAGAATATGTCAACATCTCA